AGTGTAAACATGACGTAAAAGTTCCTACTTCAAACTTTTCCTCACTCAATCAATTCCATCACAACCCTACTTCCCCCCGAAAATCCTCTTGATATCAGCAAACTTGACCCGCCTTAACAAGATACATATCCACACCCGCCTCCTGTGCGTGGGGGGGGGGGAAGGGCTGTCATAGGCACATGGTATGTTATGTTATACGCATACTATATTCTGTGTCATAGTCACGCGCTGTACGAATGATCCCCTCCCCTCCCCTCCTCAACCTCACCAGGAGCAGGAGGAGAAGGTGGTTGCGTTGTGCGATGAACAAGGCGCGGATGGTGGTTGTTGCTGTTGTGTACATATGTGGATGCGTTTGGTTTGGGCATGGTCATGGGCATAGGTATAGGAATGGGAAGGGGGCCTATGTGTAGGAAAGAGGTAGTGGTGTAATAGGAGTGCGCAGCACTCGAGTGATCTTGTTGTATATCTGCATGTGTATGTATACATGTGTATGCAAAGAAGAATATGAAAGACAAACAAGGGAAATGGAACTGTAAACAAGAAGCATGAATGCGTACTCTGTGTAGTATGTGTGTATGTGTGTGTGAGAGAGAGACGTCATGCAACAGTACGGTACACGCCATCATCACCGCCACACCACCACGCCCAGCCCCAGCACCCAAACAAATACGACCGGAGCAATGCAATACAATACACAGCAGTCCACACAGCAACAGTGTGACCCTTCCACCACAGCTCCAAAGCCCCCATAGGGAACCCCCAAGTCGACCCCCACTTCCAAAAAAGGAAAAGCAAGAAAAGAAAAGAAAAGAACATGAAACCCACAACGCCAACTTCCCCTCGCGCATTGACCCCGTTCACAAAGCCCAGCCATCCCCTCGACCGGGCCAGGAACCCAATGTGAAACGCGGATAACACCCATGCTCGTCTAATCGTACAGCGGCTCTCGCCAATTCCGGTCTAATCAAATTCCCTCGGTCTGAAACTCATCAATAGGTAATGCAGTTTGTTTGCACAGCCACCCCTCCCGGCTTCTCCTAGAGGGGGTGGGGGACCCAGAACCCAGGATCCATGGCCTCGTGATCAGCCAAGGTGGGGGGGGGAGGAGCTCAAATCCAGCCGTTTCGTGGAGGACTGCGCGACATGGTGCCTGCGCCGAGGGGGATGCGGGCGGTGGGGGATGGGGCGGTGCGGTCGGTGTTGAGACGGTTGGTGGGGGCTGAGACGGGTGTGTCTGGGGAAGAAGGGGTGGAGGAAGATGCGGATGTCACTGGGGTGATGGGGTTCATTTGCAGGCCACTGGATCCGGATGAGCCTGAAATGGTGGGAGGTGTTGTAGTGATGATCCGTGGAGCAGGCTTTGGAGATGGTTGTGGAATGGAGAGAACCTTCTCGCGTTGGGCTTGGAGGTAGGCGCCGCTGTTCAGTGCTGGGAGGAGTGGAGATGTTGGAGCTCGTACGGGGCTGTTTGCCCTGGGCTGCGTAGGTGAGGGATCGCGCGGTGGAGGACTGGGGAAGACACTGGGGCTAGGCGTCCTGTCTTCTGGCGTGTAGGTTGTGGATGGTAACTGAATGGGAAGGCCTAGTGAAGAATCACTGGAATCAGTCACCTTGCGAGTGAGAGAAGGTGCGTCGGTAGTTATAGAGTCCGCTTCGCGCTCAGGTTTGCTGGTTTTGGCTGCGGCAAGAGTGGCTGGCGCGACAGAGAAGCGTAGACCAATCTGAACAGTCGCACTGCTGTCAGTGCTGGGATTGCGCGTGTGTCGCTCGCCAAAGAATGGTCTCGGCTTGGTCAGGAAGTCGAATGCGTCGGTGACATTGGTGACGGAGCTCCTCCGTGTGAATCGGCGCATGGCGAGCTTCGAAACTGATGCGTTGTCTTGGGGGGACGATGGGTCATAGACGGTTGCAGGAAGACGAGGTACATCCTCGGCCCGTGTGGGGAATAACGAGTAGCTCTTCTTATTCCGCTCTTCGCTTGAAACCTTGTTGTCCGTCTCGAGAGGCTCCGGAGGCAAAGGCCACCTAGTAAGATCGATTGTGGGTCCGGATCTGGCGGATAGTGGACTGAGAGCTCTTTCGGGTCGAGCGAAATATTCAGGGTCAATGTCGAATCGGTTTTTCTCAGGTCCTACATCAATCAGGCCTTGTCGAGATTCCGGTCTACGGGTAGTCTGCAAAGACATGGGACCACTGATGTTCATCTCCAGGTCACTGGGCCCAAAAAATCGAATCTTGGGTCGCTTTTGCTTTTCAGGTCCCTTCATCTCCTCCACCGGTCGAATTACCATTCGCACAGCGTTTGTGCGGAGGAATAGGTGAAAGAATGTGATGATCATTCCGGAGGAGAAAAGCGATATCTCTGCGACTCTGGCTGTGGCGAGGGCGTTCATGAAGTCTTTGCGGAGGGACTGGATCTCAACAGGAATGACAAGAATCTGGTCAGTGTTAGTTCGCAGTCCTTAATCTCAGCTCTTCTACTTACGTATATTAACGCAGTGACGATCATGAAGTACGTCATGCGAGACGCTGAGATACGCTCGTGCGCATCCACTCTGGGCGACCTCATGAGTTGTATGCTGAGTACAGCAGCCAACGTCAAAAGTGCGACTACTAGAATGCACAAAACGACCAGAATCAGAAGATCGTATCGCATGGTGAACCAGATGAGACCACCGAAGCACCGATCGAACATTGGCCAGATGACCGTTGGTAACCATGTGAGCAGAAGCATGAATAAAACCACTGCAATACAAATGGCTGTATTCCACTTGCCGCGGGGAGCAAATCGTTCCTCTCCAAATGCACGCCAAGCCATTTCAGCACCGAAGACTAGAGTGATGTATCCAATGATGAACATGGCTACATTGGTGAGCGACTGTTCAATCGGTTTCCTTTGGTATTGAGCTTACCTGGAAGAGTGACCATCGAGAATCCCCGACACTTGTTGGATAAGACACTATGAAGAGAAGTGCTCTGCACTGCTACGAAGGTAATTTGTTGTAAGACGGCACCGCAAGCCAGCGCGAGTGGAAACGTTTCGGCGGGATGGACATTGTGAAGAGCACTGAGCCTCCTGGAAGAGAGTCAATTATGCCCCAAAATGTTTAGAGATGATATATTTACTGCTTCCTGGTTGTGACTTTCAGAGCGGCTGCTCTTCTCGCGTCCGATATGATACGGTGGACTGTCAACAGCGCCAATGCCAGACTGAATGCACCCAAGGTAAGATGTGTCGTGCGTAGCGTCTGTACCTGAGCGAGTTGGAGGTTGCGGATAAGTCTTCTTGTCCCATTGGTCTGAGTCCATTGCATCTCACGGACAGACGAGCCGTTGAGCGTCATGTTAAAGTGCGCTCGAGCGTCGAGTCGAGGAGAGTGAGCGTCCCATGATTCCATAATGCCAGCTCCCGCACCGCACAGAACAAGGTATACAGAAAAGAGCTGAAATCGCTGGGAACCAGCAGCGGCTGCAAGGGAAAAGGTATCGACTACGTAGTCATGAGGGCCGCTTGACTGACGTTGAGAACGAACGAGAAACCAGCTCAGTAACGATTAGAAACTGTCTGAGCCTGCCAGCAGAGCGACGAAGGAAGGAGAAAGGAACGTGAGCATAAAGCGTACGACACGGAGGCGAGTATGAGACGCCAAACAGTATATGAGGAAACTACGGAGCATAACCAGTAGCTCACCAGTTTCGGGACGGTGGTCCTTAGGCATCTGCCACCTCATTCGCCAGATGGGTGGCGCTCTCGCCCATCGTGTCTGTTCGTTTTACAGGATACTACGCCCATACTGGGCAAAGGTGGGGTTTCAACCTCATGCGAGCGAGACGCAATCAGGGTGGCCTGGACAGCGGATGCTACGAAACCCGTGCAGACGCCATGACTACGGATCATGACAACCGCAACGGAACGGCGGCTGGGGAGATTTGACCATATACTGACCTTTGCGTTGTTATTAACTAGGATGGGGGTGTCCAGAAAGACGTCACTGTAAGGCGATCCTGCGTAAGTTGGAATCAGTCGTGCTCAGAGTCCCAACACGAGAGAAGTTCCTGTCGTAGCATTTCCACAGTGAGAGCACCCGCAATCCCATTTCTTTACAATGAGCCATCTCTGCTCCATCCCGCTCTTACACTGAAGGACTGAGATAGACGAGTGGCGTAATACGGGCGGTTGTTGTGAGGTTGAGGTGGTTAGACTAAGGTTCTGATGCTCGCGGGGTTTAGACTGTGCCGCAGGTTCTCGCTTCACCCTTGGCCGAGACATTGGGAACACCAGAACCCCTGCTATCGCAGAGGTTGCTGGGGCATCCCTGTGCATTTAGGCACGCCGCATGATGGAGCAAGCGACGTGTGTACCAATTCAGAATGTACTGTGTATATCATGCCTGATATGTAGGCGCAAGACCCCCACCGTCCAAGCCGTGCTGAAAGCAGAATATCTAGCGGGGCTGAGCAGACATCAAGCAGGGCACTTGGGAAGGATGAAAGCCAGCCGCTGTATGGCCACCAAGTATGATCTCCAAATAGCGTCAGGCGTCAAAGGTATTGAGTAAATTGTGGGTGTGTGGTTGGCCATGTAACAGCACTCCATGTGGCGGACCGTCGAACGGGAACTAAGCCTTACATTGTAGAGATAGAGACTTGCAATGAGAAACACCCTCTACGAGTTGGTGGTCTGTCACTGTGAGGAAAGGTGTTGTATCGGCAAGTTCTGGCCAATGTCGCGCGAGACCTCAACGTCGTCGTCATTTGATGCTATCAATGACACCGTTTCATAGGTAGATTCTTGTTGGAGGACGTGTGGAAAAGATGGAGAGGCTTGCGCTACGGTACCTTCTCATTGGAAAACAGGTCCGATTCTGGAATACACACAGGAGGCCAAGAAAAGATGGCCTCGTGGACAATTATGTCACCTTTGAGTCGACATCAGCACGGATGGATCTTGGAGGTCATTGGTCAGGAACGTCGGCAACGGCTGGAAGGCATGACAATCCAGGGGGAGGGAGTGATTCTTCTAGAAGGCTGGTCATCCAACATGCGTGTCGCTACAGCCGTTAGCAGAAAATGTGGCTCATGGAACAGCAGAATGCTTCGAGACAATGCTCTAACAATGCAAAAAAAAGTGAAGGCGGTTATGCATATTAGGCGACCTTGCGTTGCGGTCAGCACAGTAAGACCAAACAGCATAAAAGTAGTATAGATTGGGTTTTTTCATCGTGGCGTCTTGATGGGTTTGTTGAATGCCACAAGGACACGATGGAGGGTATCTCAATTAGTCTCTGATGTGGGACTCTCAGTTGTTCTGCTTAGGTCGACTTTGCGAAATCTTCCAGATACGAAACAAGAAGTTTGGCACCGTTGAGAGAGACCGCATTATCTATCGCACGTGTGAGGTTAGCTTACAGTGATCCGTTACTAAGCAAAAGGTTCCTATCCGAACATGGTCCTCCCGAAGGAGAGCACAAGGAGATACGGCCGTCCGCTTTACCCAAGGCATGACTTGCACAGATATTGATAGCAGGCAAATTATAGAGTCACTTACAATTGCTGGCACGGATGCCTCCCACACTGCGATGACCCTTCAGGCCCAGCAAGCCCCTTTTCTCTGCGCCTGTCAAGAATGCCTTCTCCTTGTCCGCGTCCCCGCCGTTGACTCGGAAACAGATGTTCATCCTGCTCGCCACAGATTTATCCGGGACCACACGGTAAACCTCGGGATACTTTTCGAGAGCGCCATAGATCAGCCGGGTCTTCTCATTGGAGATCTCTTCTTGCCCGCCAATGCGCTTGGTACCGTATGTGTTTACGAGTCCAGACATGACCTGTCCAGCGACCCAGACATCGAAGATGGGCAGTGTGTTGTACAGCGAGTTGTTCTTGGCAATCGTTGGATAGTCCAGTACAATGGGTCCGACCGCCAGATTCAGTTGCCTTAGCAGGTCTGGAGAAGCTGGTGTAGAGTGGGGCGGGAGAAGCGACTTGCGCAATATGACGATCGCTATGCCTGTGTTGCCAATATTCTTTTGCGCACCTCCGAAAATGACAGCATAGTCCCGCACGTTGATGGTGCGAGAGATGAAGTTTGACGACATATCAGCACACACCAGGGGCGCATCGTCACCCTTGAGACTCTCTGGAAAGGAAGGGAACTCGACGCCATCCACAGTTTCGTTGTCGCAATAGTAGACGAAGGCGGGCCCGCCCTTGGATCGTGGGGTGAGGTTCCACTGGTCTTCCGAGGGGATCTTACCAAACTTGCCCTCGTTGGCTTTGCGCGCATCCACTGCGACATTGACATGCTTGGCACCCACGAGACGTGCTGCTTCTTGTGATGCCTTGAGCGACCAGGAGCCAGTGACGAGATAGTCGAGCTTCAGCTCTTCGTCGACGACTTTACGTAGTCGCTTCAGCACCTCGTCTTTGTCGTCGCCGACCTCCTCGGCGATTTTGGCGCGCTTCTTCTCTACCCATATGGAAACCAGGTTGTATACCGTTGCGCTGAATTCGCCGCTGCCACCACTCTGAAGGAAGAGAATGTCATAGTCGTCGGGGATGTCGAGTAGAGTGGTGAGGGCCTGTTTTGCCTCGGCGAGAACCTCATTGGCCTCTGGCGAGCGATGCGAGATTTCGCAAATGCCAATGCCTTTATCTTTGTAGTTGAGCAGCACCTGCGAAGCCCTCTCGAGCACCTCGGTGGGCAGCGGGGCGGGGCCTGCGCCGAAGTAGTTTACGTCAGAGCGGTTGACCATGGTGAAGAAGGAGAAGAAGCGACCTGGAACCAAGAGGATCAGGAGGAGAAACAGGAACAGAAACAGAAATGTCAGTGGATGGTCTGGGAATGGAAGTTGGGGTTATAGAGCGTTGGCGGGGTGGATGGATGGATGGATGGACAAGAAAGTGTATGAGAACTACAGGCCCTGCGTCATGTCTCGATGACTCCCAATGAATAATAGATACTCTAATTGCCTCTCCTGCCTTGACCCGACACACGCGTCCGATCTCGGGTTGGCGCATGTCGGCGAGACAGCGGTCTGGAGATGCTGGAGATGGACGAGAATGGATTTGGCCGGCAGTCTGTTGAGATGGGTGCGCATCCCACGAGTTCTCGACCATGTCCCGCGCGGGATATGAAGAGCTTGTCATGTGCAGACATGTGAGAGAACTCGAGTGTCTCTCTTGTGCATCATCCAATCGCAATTCAAGTGAAATCGATGACTTGTTTTTTCTTGGGCCGATGTTCGGTGCGGCCTCATTCCGGACCACCGTAAGTCCGGTAGAGTAGGTACGGTACCGGTACTGGCAGGTAAGCGACAAAATAATCCATCGCGGGCATGGGGGAACACCATTGAAGGCAAGAAACAACGGCTGACCCTTCCTTCTTCCATCAACACACTCAACGCACACACTCGTGCCAGAGGGAAGAGGCCAGCAGCAATGGCAATGTCACTGCGCGCAGCACGGCTGCTAGGTCGCCGGCAATTCGTGGTATGTCTACTTCAAAGCCTTGGTACACAGCTGCTGGAAGCTGTCCCATGTCAAACCCGATTCAATCTGCATCTTCAGTGTCGACAATCGAGCCTCTCGCTTCGCACCGCGGCCACCACCCAATTACCCCGAATCACACTCGCTTCACGCTCCTTCTCCACGACACGATGCAGGCCTGGCACGCCAGATGTGTTCCATTCGCTCAAGGAAAGCCCCGCAGCGAACTTCCTATCCTCGCTCCAGGAAACACCAAAAACGCCACAGACGCTTACAGAGAAGATTGTGCAGCGGCATGCGGTTGGCGTCGCAGCGGGCAAAGTGCTGAGGTCGGGCGACTATGTGACTTTGCAACCACACAAGTGCATGACCCATGACAATTCATGGCCTGTCGCGCTCAAGTTCATGGGCATTGGCGCCACCAGAATCAGTGATCCGAACCAGATCGTCATGACACTCGACCATGACGTGCAAAACAAGACGGAGAAGAATCTGAAAAAGTACAGCCAAATCGAGCAATTCGCACAGAAACAGGGCGTCGTCTTCTATCCGGCTGGCAGAGGCATCGGCCACCAGATCATGGTGGAAGAGGGCTACGCTTGGCCAGGAACACTCGCGGTAGCCTCGGACAGTCACTCGAACATGTATGGCGGTATTGGATGTCTGGGCACCCCCGTGGTACGAACAGATGCCGCCAGCATCTGGGCGACAGGAAAGACGTGGTGGCAAATACCACCCGTCGCAAAAGTCACACTCAATGGCAAGATGCCCCTGGGCGTCACGGGCAAAGACGTCATTGTCGCTCTCGCCGGTCTCTTCAACAACGACGAAGTCCTCAACCACGCCATCGAGTTCACGGGGACAGATGAAACCCTCGGCAGCATTCCAGTAGATGACCGCCTCACGATCGCAAACATGACCACGGAATGGGGTGCTCTGACCGGCCTGTTTCCCATTGACTCGATCCTCCATGGCTGGCTTCGAGCGAGAGCTACGCTGGCAGCCATGACCGAAGGAAATGTCAAGGATCACCACAAGAAGCAGTTTCTGCACGAACGCATCGATGAACTCTTCACAGCGACTGGCATCGTCGGACAGCAGCTAGGGCACATCTTCAAGCCCGCGTTGGCTGCTGACAAGGGTGCCGTCTACGCCAAGGAGCTCTTCCTCGATCTCTCCACCTTGTCGCCATACGTCTCGGGCCCCAACTCCGTCAAAGTGGCCACACCGCTCGTCGAACTCGAAAAGCAGAGCATTCCCATCAACAAGGCCTACTTGGTCTCATGCACCAACTCTCGAGCTTCTGATCTTGCTGCTGCTGCAAATGTGTTCAAGGATGCAGCTATTCTGAACGGAGGCAAAATCCCCAAGATTCCAGAACATGTCAACTTTTACATTGCTGCTGCTTCGATACCAGAACAAAAGGCAGCTGAAGAGGCGGGTGATTGGCAGGCCCTCCTAGATGCTGGTGCTCAACCGCTACCCTCTGGTTGCGGGCCATGCATCGGTCTCGGCACTGGTCTCCTCGAACCCGGCGAAGTGGGCATCAGTGCCAGCAATCGTAATTTCAAGGGTCGGATGGGATCACCAGATGCCAAGGCTTATCTCGCCAGCCCTGAAGTCGTGGCAGCAAGTGCGCTATCCGGCAAGATTTCTGGCCCTGGCTGGTTTCAAGCTCCCGAGGGCTACGCAGGTGTGCGCCGTGGAGAAGGCGATGGCATTCCGGATGAAAAGCGTATGATGACGATTGAAGACATGCTCGAAAAGGCCATCAAGGACGCCGAGGCTGCTATCGACACCTTTGACGCTGATGAGCGCGCGGAGCAGACCAGCAACACCACCACCACCTCCACCACTGAGCCTGAGACCCTAACTGAGATCCTCCCCGGCTTCCCCGAAAAGATCAGCGGAGAAATCGTCTTCTGCGACGCCGACAACATCAACACGGACGGCATCTACCCCGGCAAATACACCTACCAAGACGACGTGACGCGCGAAAAAATGGCCCAAGTCTGCATGGAAAACTACGACCCGGGTTTCAGCCAGACGGCCAGGGCGGGTGACATTCTCGTGTCCGGCTTCAACTTTGGCTGCGGCAGCAGCCGCGAACAGGCCGCCACCGCTATTCTCGCAAAGGGTATCCCCCTCGTCGTCGCCGGCAGATTCGGCAACATCTTCAGCCGCAACAGCATCAACAACGCGCTCATGGGCGTCGAGGTCCCTAAACTCCCACCCCGTCTTCCCGAAGCCTTTTCCCCCGATCCCCCCTCCCCTTCCTCCTCCAACCCCCCCATCACCGAACCCTCCAACAACTCCGAATCCCTCGACTCTCCTCCCCCGGCTCCCCCCGCTCCCCCCAAACAATTGACCCGTCGTACCGGGTGGTCGCTCGAGTGGGATGTGCGCAGGAGTATGGTGACGGTGCAGGAGGGGCTCGGTGGCGCTCAGTGGAGTGTCAAGGTTGGGGAATTGCCTCCTAATGTGCGGCGGTTGCCCTGTATTGGGCG